AGAGGAGAAGGTTGCACAAACATGATCGAAGAAATACATGCTGAACTCCTTCGCATCTCAGAGCCCGAGTGGGTACGCCTCTGCACGAGACCGACGACGGATGAGCTTTGGAATTCTACGGTGACCCTGCTGGTAAACAAAGCTCGAGAGGTGTTCTGCAAGCCGACGCCGACGGAGTCTTTGAAATCTGAAATGGAAAAGGAACGCTCGCAGTTATTGGTGAAGCGTAAGGCTCTAAAGGGCAGGCACGTTGGCAGATACACGGAGACGTGGAAGGACCTCGAGCTTGAGCTGGCCAGGTTAACTTTCCGCATTCGAAAGGCCACTCAGCAGATTGCGAAAGACAAGACGGAGGAGACCGTACGGGAGTTGAACGAGGCTTGGGCAGCACATGATCACAATACGGTGCAGCGTCTCATTCGAAGGTTAGCTCGACGGGGACGCGGGCCCAGACAGCGGCGCTACTTCGCCACCAAGACAGAGAACTGCGAGGCGGAGCAGATCAGTACATACTTGCAGAAGGCGGCCTCCGAGGGGGGCATGGGCGGGGCGCACTGTGATCTTCAGGCAGAGCTCGCCGAACGATTCGACCGATCACACTACGACGACGAGGAGGGCCAGGACTTCAGCTCCGACCAAGTGAGGCACGACACAATGCAACTCGTGAACCTCGAGCAGGCCCAGTTGGATCTTCAGGGCATGCTCAAGGTACTGCGCTCCTCTCCGAAGAGACGGGCGTGCCCTCGCTGGTCGATGCCATCGGAACTATGGTTACTGTTGCTGGATGCTGAGGTTTGGGGCCCCTTCAAACGTGGGGAGTTGGCGCTAGTATGCACCCCTCGTCTGCGACGGCCTTCCTCGAACGCATGACGGACATCATAGCTTGCTTTCGGCGATCAAGACAGTCTCCCTTATTGTTCGACATTTCTTCTTGCTTGGGTTTGGACAAACGGAATGGCAAGGCGGGAGCTGCAGGTCTGAGATGGATCCATTTGTTCTGTCCCATGGGGAAAGCTTGGCATTCCCACCTTTGGAGACGCGGCAGAACGGTGCGCAGCAGCTTACCCTACCATTGCCACGGCTTCGTTTTGCGACGCAGGAGGGAGGACGCGATAGCAGTACAGGCGTGCGCCTCCTGGCGGCTGGAGCAAGAGGGCCTCTCTCACGCCATTGTGAACGAGGATGCGACAAACGCCTTCGCGAGCACGGGCCGAAACACTATCCTTGAGGTCCTCCCCTCCCTCTATCAACCAGAGGACGTCGTCTTTCAACGTCGTCGTGCGATCCAGGGAGCCCTGCAGATTGAATCGCCATCGGGACCGATTACGCTGCGTCCGTCCACGGGGGAGATGATGGGACACCCGAACCCTGCTAGGGCGTTCCCGTACTACTACGAGGTAGGTCTCGCTCGATTTCATGACCACCGTTCGAGGACGACGTCGAGTCAGTACGCCGAAGCGATCGAGATCGATGGTGCGGTTAGCGACGTAGGCTTGACGATTTTCGCCGATGACATCACGAAGATTGTAATACCAGGATGGGGACCTGAACCACGCGCCAACGGTAGCGAGGCGGCGCCCCTGGCGGCGCTGGCGGAGTCGAGCAGCTCTCACCTCCGTGAGGCCCTGTTGGAGATCGGCATTTCTCTCAACCCCGACAAGAGGGTCACGCTCGCTAGGATTTTTGGTCGTGGATGTACTGGGCAACGCCGTCTTTGGCACAGCGGAGTCTTGAAAACGTCGGGTATCCGAGGGCGTCACATTCGTGTTCTGGGAGGTTGGCTCACTACGACAGGGTCCTTGGCCGTGGAAAAATCGAAGCGGGTCCAGGCGGGGAAAAACGGCCTGGGGCTCATCTCGTGCTTCTTGATCAGACCAGCTGCCCGGGCCATCAAGCGGATGGCGATCATCGCCTTCGTCCAGGCGGCCCTTCTCTCTGGCATGGAGGCACGTGTTCCTGATGCCTCATTCTGCGAGCAGGCGGACAGGGTGTTGCTACTAGCGATGCGCAGGGGTCTGGGTCTGCAGGGAACCACTAAGGGCGAAGACGGGGCTATCCGACGCTGGCCATCAAAACATGTCTGGGAGTATTGGAAGATCCTGCCGACCTTCGCTGAACTCCGGGTGCGTCGTCTGGGTTGGCTCCAGAACTGGGCCCGCTTTCCCGAGGCCCATCGTCAGGTTCGAGCGTGCATCCTGGGGACCATGGGAAGCTTCGACACAATCGACTCCGACTGGAACCTCACCCCGAAAGCCAACCCCTGGGCCCAGCAGGTTCTGGAGGACCTGAGTTTCGCCCATGATCACTGCGAGGATTTCTACATGCTAGTCCCCTCGGGTTACCCCTTGCTGAAGTTGCTTTACATTGACGAGTTTAGGGGCTGGGCCTACCTGGACTTCACGGCCCTACGAGCGGCGGCCTACTCAAAACAGTTTGCCCCTCCTGAACACCACCCCGAGGCTCCAGAGGTCCCCGAGGCTGAGGAGGAGACGGCCCCCGAGGGCCAGTTCGTCTGCAACATGGTGCTCACCACGGGCGCCAAGTGTAACGAAAAGTTCAGCACCATGAAGGCGCTCCTCCTCCATGCGGGCCGAGCCCGCCGCGTTCGGAATGAAGCTGCCCTCCTGACAGTGACTAACCAATGTTTCAGATGTTTACAGGTCCTTAGCACGAAAGAGAACGCGGAGAGGCACGTCATGAGGTCGTTCAAACGAAACATTTGCTGCCGCGGGAGGAGCTCTTTCTTGGCGCAAGACGTACTGGTCCCCAGCGAACTACTGTGTCCAGTATGTAGGCATTGGGCTCAAAGTCTATTCGACCTTCAAGTGCACATTCGAACTCATTGCTCACTACCTCAGCCCGGAGTGAGACACCGTCGACAGCTGAATGGCTCGTGGCTCGGGGGAGAACGTGGACCTGATGGACCTCGGTGCGCTGATAGAGCTCGGCAAACGGAAGGAATCCCCTGGCGGGGAAGGTGGAGCAAGGTCCAAGGGGCGCAAGCTGGCAGAGGCAGCGGACGACGCAGAGGACACACTGAACCAGGTCGAGAATGCTCTTCGAGGAAAAGACGTTGCTGCGGCGCTCTCCCTCCTCCTAAAAGGTTTCTGCATGCGCTCACAGCTGCTACGCGACGTGGCGGCAGTGGTCTGGGTAAGCGCGATCCTTCCATCGACCTCGCCGATTATTGTGGCTTCCAGGGCCGCTGGAAAGCTCTACGCCGAGGCGGCTGGTCTAACATCGGTGAAGGACAAGCTTGGACCACCTCATTTACACATAGCGCGCGCAGGGTTCAAGTGTCTAGTGGAAGCCGAATCGAGCACCAAGATCGGGGGGGGGGAAGCGCTGGAAGTGGTACAGTTGTTCTACAGCAAGTTCGTACAGAAAGGACAGATGCAGGAGCTCGGATTATCGATCCGACACTATCGCTGCAAGAAGTGCTACAACGAGGACATGACACGCCTCCAGTTTGCCATAGTGGACGGGGTCAACCTGCAAAGCGACAGCGGCGAGCCCACAACCTATTCCAAGCTGATGATCGAGAACGCGACGGTGGGGCTGCTCAGGGGCATGGGCGGGACACTCAAGCAGGGGACGGCGCCGCAGGGCCATCTCGAGAACCTCGCACAGAAGATGCTGGACAAGCACAAGCTGGGCGGCAAGGGCAGAGGCAAGAAGTCGACGGCGTGACATGGGAGACGCGACTGGCGGCTTTGCAAGCACGTATTGCGGCAAAGGAGCTGGCAAAATCCTAGGCGCTGCCTAGGTTCAGACGTCGCCATGTTTTCGCCATGCGCCTCGAAACAAATCCTGAGTTCCCTCAGGTTCAGTCGCCACGACGCTGGACGCAGGGAAAGCTCCACACTACTTTGATTGGGATGGTTGTCTTTACTTAGATTTTCATTGATTGGCTGTTCTCGGACGCAGACCACGCCCAGCTGACCTCCACTGGCGGCCAGATCGGGAACCCAGATCGTAACCTCTTGCTCTGGTCCCCCCTCGCCGCGCTGGGCATGGTAATGGTTGTGCTCTGGTTCGTTCAGCCCTTCGACATCTAACTTTGAGGCCCCGCCCGCCACGCTCGACAAGGCAGGAGTGTTTGCTTTGCTGTCTACAGTCGGTCTTTTCCTCTTGCGGATCCGAACCCGACGAAGGGCCCACTCCGACGCTTGCCAATCGGATGCCTTCGGGGCCCGAGTGTCAGGTAGTGGAGAGGGCCCTCCCGCCTGGGTTGCCGATCTGACCTTCATATAGATATTCATATTTTTTTTCAGGGCTGGGTGGATGCCTCGGGAGCCTGCCTGGCACACATAGTGCCGCGAGGTTTCGGCCCCCTCGGGGCCAGAGGGGTGTCCCCCCCAGCCCGCGCGTGACAATGAATGCGCACAGCCCCGATACACACGTGTCGAGCGCTGCACGGCGCGCGTAACCCATGACCTCGCATAGTAGATATGCGATCGTTTGAGGTTGTAGTTCTGCACGCGTATCACACCATGTGTAGAGCTGCGTCACCCCAGCACACGCGCAAGGCCGAGTCCTATCCTATCCTATCCTATCCAATCCTCCTCCTCCTCCTCCTCCTCCTCCTCCTCCTCCTCCTCCTCCTCCCTCCCTCCCTCCTCCCCCTCCTCCTCCTCCTCCTCCTCCTCCTCCTCCTCCTCCTCCTCCTCCTCCTCTCCTCCTCCTCCTCCTCCTCCTCCTCCAGGTCTCATTCTGATTTTGCCCTGGTCCGAAATCCGGCTTCATCCCTCTGTCCGGCTTGGTCCCGGCAGATCCGGCTTACTCCCGCTTGATCTGGCCTGACCCCGTTGAATCCGCGGCCTCATCCGGCGTAGCAGCCCCCCCAATGGGGCCCAATCCTCCTTAGCTCCTCCTCCTCCTCCTCCTCCTCCTCCTCCTCCTCCTCCTCCTCCTCCTCCTCCTCCTCCTCCTCCTCCTCCCCCCCTTGGCCCTCCCGACGCAGACTCCCCGGTGGCCGCCGCGCGCGCCGCCCCGGAGAGGCCGCGACCGCCCCCGCGGCCGTGCAGGGCGCGCGGGCCGCCCCGGCGGCCGCGGCCGTGCAGGGCGGCGGCGGCAGCGCGCCCGGCTCGGGCCAGGCCTCGCCGCCGCGGGGCGGGCAGGCCCGAGAGGCGGCGAGGGCGAGGACGAAGACGGCGAGGGCGAGGGCGACGAGGGCGAGGAGGGCGAGGAGGACGAGGGCGAGGGCGACGAGGCCGAGGAGGACGAGGGCGAGGGCGAGGACGAGGTCGAGGAGGACGAGGACGAGGGCGAGGACGAGGACGACGAGGACGAGGGCGACGACGAGGACGACAAGGACGACGAGGACGAGGACGAGGATTCCCTCCCCCCCCTCGGTTGGCCCAAGAGCCCCCAAGCTCGGCGTCAAGCCTGGGGGGGAGTAAGAGGGAGCGGTCCTCTACAAGGCTCGGACGGCGTCGGGTCTTCCGCGGAGTGCTCTAACCCTTTCCCGCAGACGCAGAACGCTTCTCAGAAGGCCAGGGCCGCTCCTCCTCCTCCTCCTCCTCCGCCTCCTCCGCCTCCTCCGCCTCCTCCTCCTCCTCCGCCTCCTCCTCCTCCTCCTCTAGCGTCGGTTAGAGACGGTAAACGTCGATTTAGCGTCGATTTAGCGTCCACTGGCGTCGTGTAGCGTCTACTAGCAAGAGCCGACAAGACGGTATAGGAGGCCGCCGAGAGTTGCCACAGAAGAAGGAGAAGGAACGGCAGGAACAATGCTTGTGGACGACGATCGAAAGAGAGGAAGCATGTTGCCAATCAACTTCCAGATGTTTCTCTGTCTATATATATATGGTTTATGCATGTCTTGAACATGTAAAACATATTTCAAACATGTTCAGACCATTTTCAATCATTTCAAACAGATAGTATTCAATGATCGGATTGTTGGGGTGTCCATTGTCATGGCATCCACAAACCAATGCACTGTCGCAGCCCTGGCCCCGGCCCGAAACAAACATGTTCATACATCCATGCATACATGCATGCATGCATGCATGCATACACACATAAACATACATACATCCATACGTACATACATACATGCATGCATACATACATATATACATACATACCTACACATACCTAAATACATACATACACCCATACATACATACACATACATACATACGTACATACATACATGCATGCATACATACATACATATATACATACATACCTACACATACCTAAATACATACATACACGCATACATACATACACACATACATACATACATACATGCATGCATGCATGCATGCATGCATACATACATACATACATGCATGCATGCATGCATACATACATACATACATGCATCAATACACACATACATTCATACAGTCATACATTCATTCATGCATACATACATACATACATACATACGTACGTACGTACATACATACATACATACATACACGATTACATGCATACATGCATACATGCATACATGCATACATGCACACATGCATACATGCATACATGCATACATGCATACATGCACACATGTACACATGCATACATGCATACATGCATACATGCATACATGCATACATGCATACATGCATACATGCATACATGCATACATGCATACCTGCATACCTGCATACATGCATACATGCATACATGCATACATGCATACATGCATACATGCATGCATGCATACATACATACATACATACATACATACATACATACATACATACACATGTGCATATATATATATATGTATACACGCACACACTTGGTGTCCGGAACAAGTGCGAGTAGGTCAAAACCGCGTTGATGAACTTGACCACAGTAGCGATGAACGCACCAAAAACTTGCATTTATCACGCTCCAGCTACACACTCACTGTACGGTAGGTTTGCGTCGTGTCGACCAGCGGCGACCCCAGCGCGGGCGTTCAAGGTTGAACGCCGCCGGCGACCCAGAATCGATCGATGTTGAACGATCGGACGTTGCGGCAGCGGCCGATCGTTCAAGGTTGAACGATCCCTGCGGTGTCAAAAACCAACGCTGGGGTCGGCACGACACGAACCTGCCGTACAACTTCAAAGTCCCATCTACATTGCAAAGACTGGCCTATGTAACGCCAGCGAGCACAGACCCGGCCCCAGCCCCGGCCCCGCGTCCGGCCCTGGCCCTCCAAGGCAAAACGAGGCCTTCCCCCCCCCCCCTCGGAAAACGGAACAACCCTCCCCCCCTCCCTCTCCAGAGCGAAACCCCCACGAGGGGCTCCAGCTCGATCCACACGAGGGGCTCGAGAGGCCCCGCGGACGGCCCATGAGGGCCCCGAGTCGCCGAGAGATCGCCCCGAGATCGCCCCTGGACAACCTAATCCCCTGGGCACTCGAACAACCTAATCCCCTGGGCCGCAGGTCCTCTGCCCAGAGGACCCCCTTCCGGGGCCCGCGCCCCGCGCTGCCGAGCCTCCTCTCAGGCGTCGAACGAAAGCAGCAGCCCCCCCCCCGGAAAACAGAACAGGCCCCCCACTTCCCGGAGCGAAGCTTGAGTGAGCTCATGTCTGCGCTCCTCGCAAAGTGCCCACTCGCAAAGTGCCCACTCGCAAACGCCCGAAAATATCGTAAATCCCCCACGGCGGATCCAGGCCATTTGCGAGGAGTAGATACTTTGCGAGTAGTGGAACGCGCTTGTCTAAACTCACACGCCGAATCGGCGGTTTTTATTGCTTCGCCGATCGGCGCGGTCCCTTGGCCTCCCCCTCCCCTCTATAGACCAGATCTTGGCTGGTTTGGGCGGCTGCCTTTGGCGACTGGTCAAGTTCCCTTCCCCTCAGTCTGCTTGCGCGACTGGGTAGAAGCAGATCGTCACCCCCCACCAAACCACCCCAACCCAACCCGAAGGCCCCGATTTGCCCTCCATTTCCGTGGGGGGGGCTCGGGGAGCATTGAACAAATACACGTGAAGCCCGTACTCCCCCCAACCCGAAATCCAGGCGAAATTCGGGTCTTCGGGTTGGGTTGGGGTGGTCTTGTAGGTAGTCAGATCGACTCAGCACCGGCCCAGACCTGGATCCCCCCCCCCCCCCCCTCCCCCACCCTTCGGTCGCTACGTGATCCCGCGCAAGACCCGTTCTTGAGCGTCGCGTCGCTCGAGTGTCGAAGCAGAGAGCCGCAGCAGCTCTACAGGGAAGCGCAGCGGACCCCTCACGCCCTACGGGGCCCCGCGGGGCGACACGGCGGAGGCCTCGGCTTCCCTTCGTGGGCCGCCGGGCTCAATGGTCCCAGAGCCCGCGGCGTCATGGCGCCCACATCTCACAGCGGATTTCGTTCCGAAAATATGTCATGGGGTGGGCCCGGACCGTCCTGGAGAATGTCGTTCCAGTGTTCCGAGGCAAGCTTCGCGCAGGCTTCTTGCCGGCCAGGAATGGAGACTGCAGAACATCCGCGTGACATTCACGCCGTTTTTGGCCCACTGTCTCGGGGTTTTGCGGTCGGTGCGATAAGGGGCGGGCCCCGGGGAGGACGACATCGAGGAAGACTGTGCGCGATTGAACAATTCACGACGTCGGGTCCAGACATACGATGCCTTGTTTGTCCCAACGCGAGTCTCTAGAAGTCCCGACCCTCCTCCCAAGGCCGGCTTCTCATCCCGAGTGTTTTTTGATGGCCCCAGGGCCTGGCGAGGGCCCCCGGAGGCCGAAAACGGTGAAGAACCTGTCTGCCTTGATTTGATCAAGACAATCGCTCGGGCCACAACTTGGCCTCTGCCGGCCGCTCGGGACGATGCGGACACCCCCAGGATGCTCTCGACGAGGCGCAGCTGCTGGAAAGCATCCCGAAGCGAGAGAACCAAGAACCGACGAAGATGTCCGACGAAGAACCAAGAACCAAGAACCGACGAAGAACCAAGAACCGACCAAGAACTCTCAGACATCCGAGGATCTGCTTTTTTCCAGCGCGAGGCCCCAGAGGTCCCGACCACTTCCAAGGGGCCATATTGGGGATCCATCTTTGTTGGCCCCAGGGCTCGAAAGACGGCCCCCGAGGGCTGGGAAACAAGAGGCAACGCCCGTTGACAAACACCATCTCGTCAGAGATCTGGGAACCCGAAAGCGTCCGACCCCCCCCAGTCGGCTTGCTTGCGGGGATCAGGCCAGACACATCAAGGTAGACGCAGGTACATCGAGGCCGATCCAGATAGATGCAGGTCAGTTCACAGACGTTCAGTTTTTAGCCAGAGATCTCCAGTTCGATCCGTTGCTGCAAATCGCGGACGCTCCGGCGCGAGGCGCGAGGAATCGAGGGAGGCACCCGTGCGAGCGGAAAGCCGACTCGGGCGAGATGGCCCGAGGGTGCTTCGCGGTGCACCCGCGCCCAAAGCCGAGACCGAAGCTCCAGCGCCCAGGGACACGAAGGGGTAGGGCCCACCGTGCAGGCGGAGCTGGCAGCGCGCCGTGGCACAGCGCGAGCCGACGGACCGCAGACCCGGAGGTCCGACGTCGTGATTTTCTCTCCGTGCGCGGCCCCCGGAAGTCTCGACCCGCTCCCCAGGATCGGCTTCTCATCCCGCGTCGTCTCCTGACGGCCCCGAGGCCCGGCGAGGGCTCCTGGGGGACGAAATTAGCGAAAGACCTCGCAGACGCGAAATTCGCGAAACTCGCGACATTCGCTTCCAGGGGACGAAACTACGGTAGGTTTGCGTCGTGTCGACCAGCGGCGACCCCAGCGCGGGCGTTCAAGGTTGAACGCCGCCGGCGACCCAGAATTGATCGATGTTGAACGATCGGACGTTGCGGCAGCGGCCGATCGTTCAAGGTTGAACGATCCCTGCGGTGTCAAAAACCAACGCCGAAGTCGGCACGACACGGACCTGCCGTAGCGACATTCGCTCCTGGGGGGCGACATTCGCGAGATTCGGCCATGGCGAGCCCCCTGCTCTCCTCCACGCCCCTTGGGATCTCCGGGCCTCCGCCTCCGCCTCCTCCGCCTCCGCCTCCGCCTCCTCTTCCTCCTCCTCCTCCTCCTCCTCCTCCTCCTCTTCATCCTCTTCCTCCTCATCCTCCTCCTCCTCCTCCTCCTCCTCCTCCCCCCCTCCCCCCTCCCCTCCTCCCTCCTCC